TGAGTAGCTTATGAAGCCAGGGTTCTCGAACTTGATAAACGTCAAGAAGAGCACAACAGTGACTGAACCCAAAGCGAGGTAGGCGCCCAGTCCCGTCACTGTCACTACCTCAGGTCGACTTTATCAATGTCGAGATTTCCATGAAGTCGAGTAGAAGTCATTTTCGGCAAGATTGCATTATTGGATTATAACAATCTGGTGATGGGTGAAAGTGTCCCGCTGCTAGAGACGCGGGTTCGACCCCTACAACATGCACTTTTCGCTCGACCTCGCTCGAAATTCTATATTTCCATTCCCTCATCGACGATATCCGCATCCCAAGCAAGTAAAGGTTGGCCCTTTCTTGACGATAAACACAACATGATGTTCTTCCGAAACAAATTACACAGTGTCAATCGTGCGGCCTTCAAAGACCCTCCTCAGACTAGGATCATCCTTCATGATATCATCAACCTTCGTAGTAAGCCTCATAAGGACTCCTGCTGAACTCATCACTATGGCGTAGGGTATAGCTACATACAATGCTCGATGTAGCGGTCTGCGATTATTCATTTGGACACACACTCTGATAACAAGACGCATTGGTTACGGAAGATTTCACATGATGTCACTTACCCTATAGAATAGAGGCCGACTGCTGACCCTGTAGATGCTAGTACCGGCCTCACGTAGTGGCGTACGTCGAACAGAGTGGCCATTCTCCTTTCATTGCCTTCTAACCACACCTCTTTCACAACCCTGAGGTTGCCTTCTAGCGATTCAACATGATTCCTCAGCCTTGCATAGCGGCGAGCAAACCAATTGGGCCTATGGGCTGTGGGAGCGACAGTAACTGTGTTTCCCGCATTCAATACGTCACTAGCGCTGGTGGGCCGATCTGTGAAGAGGTTCTCGAGGACAAGGCCGCCGGGCATAACTAGGCTGATCAACTCAAGCTGGCGTTCTGGGAGGGAGCAAGACGTTGACCATTTATCGATGCACTACGCAATGCCAGGGGCAATTCACTGAAAAAAAACGTACAGCGACGAGGCCACACTCAGAGAGATATGTATTACTGATAAGAATGAAGGGACAACTACCGGTCTGATAACGATACATCACACTGCGTATCATACACGGGGGCGAAGAGGAAAATAACAAATACTGAGAGGCCACTGAAGTGAACTGTCACAAATGACAGAAATGTAAAGGGCAATATACACTGGTGGAAGAGAGAACTGAATAGAGTACAAGAGGAGATAGATGAGAACATGATTCCGGAAGAAATCACCGATAATAACGGAGGAGTGCAGAGTATAAAACCATCACGCGAAAAAGCGGGGGCTAACCGCCAGTAGCGACCAAGGAGCATCCCGTCAGTTGATTTAAGTTAGCTGCGACTCTCCCATACACTACTCAGACTTTCCCACCCTTGAGTCGATAACTCGACTCGCCCACCCTTGGCTGCAAACCGGAACGTTGAACTCCGACTTGAGTAACCTACAGACCTCAGAATACATGTAGCCAAAGTAGTGACATACAGAGAGATCTAACCGAGTAGTTCAATGATACCTGCCTAAGGACGGCAGGGGGGAGGGATAAAAGGAAAAAATGGGGATCGTACCCAAACGACGACTGACTGACAACAACTGCCCAGTAGTCTTGAGAGTTGAATTATCACCGAATTGCCATCTTGGCCTCTTGACCTAACTCACACACCGTATAGTCTCTCGTCACTTGAACTCTTAAACATGTTCCCATGCTCTCCAATACAGGTGAGGACGGCGGAGATCATCCTTCGCTCAACAAGGAAAGCATCGCCAGTCCCACGGCTCGCTGTGAGCATGGGTAGCACTACTACCATCTCTGTTTGAACGCAAAATATATTCCCTAAATCGAATACCATCGCTGGCCGAACCGCATCTACTGTATATGATGCCGTTCCGTATAGAGCATTCACATCGCCGCCAATCTAAAGCACACTTCACCCGCGATGAAGGCTGGGCGGGGTACGGAACGCGTTTTTGATACAGAGGAATTATCCGATACCACACACTAGAAACAAAGTGTTAACCGATACATTGACAAAACATAAATTAAACCTAGAAATGATATCTCCTAATCTCGGTACTATGGCCAATCACCATACCTATAACGGAGTACTCTGAGCACTTAGTCGGTAGTCATAATACATATGGCATTATGGCTGTTATGCTATTATTGCTATTATTAGGTTATGGTATTATGTTATTGTTATAAAGCCGTCCCGTTGCATTACATGGGCTGACAAACAAGCGAGGCATCTGCGATGCGTGACGGTAGCTGTTTCTTGTCCCAGCTCTCCAAACCTCTAACTCTTCCAGCCTTGGCAAGATTGCTCTATGCGGCGTAGCCCTACATCTGTACGTATTCTCATCCGTACAAATCCGAGTACGTTTTAAACCTCCTGAATGATAAGTTGAGAGGAGAGTTCGATCATCGAGCTTCGATGAGGTCAAGGATGTCACCAAGGTGTTGTCGATGGCAACAGCCCGAACTCACTGATGAGAAGAGCATCGGTATTCTGGACACTTTTGACTTCGAGAACTTATACAAGAACAGTTCTTGCGAGCCATCGCCTCATCATCAATGCCGGTCGCTGGAGGCCTGCAATGTTCGAGTCATCGACATGAGCGTATTAGATATGTTTGAAGAACTCCGTGTCTTCACGACGGAACGCATGATGAACCCCGTTACGTTCGGCGAGAACTGTGATGCGATCTTCATGCCTAAGATTGGTGAGTGTTCCTAGCTGTTTTCCGTGTCGTAGCATCGCGTGTGTTCAGCTGCGTTCGAGGCGAGCAACTGTATTGAAAACCTAGGCGGCGATGAGGGTGAAAGTCGACGACGGAAGAACCTGCTGAAGTGTGCTGGACCGAACACCCCGAATCTGTTCGTAGTCGATCACTACGCGGAGTCTGGCATGTGAGTCTTAGCAACGGGTTATTGGGTGTCAGAGGGTACGTAGGTATAACGTGGTGTTATATCTTTGCATATCGGTGTTATCAACATCTCATATTTAAGCCAAAATAGATGCTCCAATTTGGGCCTGAGGTCCATGCGGGATGGTCCGGCCCAGACCTCGATTACGTATCCCCAGCATCTTCTGTGTCCTCGCGTGTGTAGCTAGGCCGCTCTTTCTGTAGAGGCAGATTGAGGTGAGCACTAGCGGCGATTATCCTAACTCGCGTGCGTAACAATGGTAAGTGAACGATCATATTCGTATTTAATCCTATTCGCCTTCGACCATTCGGGAATTGTCGGGACAACACTAATATGATACCTTGGCTGTCGTCGTGGTATCGCTCCAGCCAAGTCGCTCAGAAATTACCTCCCTAGCGTTTCTTCATCCACACTATCGCCACACGTAGATTTGCAAGCACTTGCGGTACTGTTGAGACTTCCATAAAATTTCAAAGCATCAAGTTCTCACACTTTGGCTTTTGACTTTCGGGTGCTTGTCAGAGTACAACGGTTTCAGTGGGCATGTTGGTAGTAATGGAAAGGTTGAGTTGCCACTAGTAGGGTGTTTAAAGAGTTCTATACATCATTCTCAAGTGACGGGGTTGAGCTTATCACATGACAACAACAGCACGACCGGGAAATTCGGAAGAAACAGCCGGTCGAGGCTCTATCACAGCGGCGGCGGTCGGGGCTAGCACTTCCCAAGCCTTACAGAAGAAGGTAGTGATTGGGATGTCCGGGACTTGCTAGATAGGGCATAGACTGGGTACTATTCTCGTGTCGGGCGACGATACTATCGAGGGAATCAGTAGACTGAATTGATGTAGACTCCGAATTAGATTTTACAGTAGTTATGAAACTTTGTGAATTGCAATCGTGAAGTCCTCACGAATAACGGGAAAGATTTGTCCTCTATTGCGGTTCTGTTGGCACTGTATGAGGAAATAATAGGCTTCGGTTTCTTAGCGGTGCATGGGCTGCATCACAGGAGTGGATATCTATCGAGTTATCGTGGGTACACTAGTAGAGAGGTTGATATGGCTCTTACGACCATTTCTGCCTAGGTTCAGAAAGTGCTGTCACTGCGATTCGAACCTGGCACCTCTCTAGCTGTCTTGCAAACGCTCTCCTCATTTTATGGTGAAGGCAACAGTGTGGATCAGAGGAGGAACCTTAGGTAGATGACGAAGGCGTCTTCGGGGAACTACGACAACCCGCACAGATACATGATAGAAAATGAGAACCTTATGTTGAATAAGGAATTTGTTAATAACTTCTCGGAAGTGGAGTCGGCCGTTGAGGACATGTAAGGACGATGGCGGGAGGTGGATGAAGATTCAACTGGAACAGGTCGAAACGTCTTAGCGACTTGGAGAGTCTCTTGGATGCAGCTTCGGCGCAGCTGCAGGACTCTCGGAATAACACGCACGAGGTGGGCATTTGCCATTGGGATATTCTGGTGATCTCAACTGAGGGACGCAGGTACTGGAAAAGGCACGAAAGTTGAACTTGCATAAGAAGCATACGGTTGAAAAGAAGGAAGTAGGTCGACTCGGGCACCTGTTGGGAGGCCACACCACACTGCTAGGTACTCAATTTGTTCTCTTCGCGGTTTATATTACCACTGGAAGACGAGGCCAGAATAAGGAACTCCGATTCCCCAATAGATGAGGATTTTTTCAAGAGTCTCAAGCAACTCCATCGGGTAGGTTAGTGAAGGGGGTAGTGGTCCTGTGTACCAGTTTATGGTTAGGTACGCATTGAGGCAAGACACATGTTGGATGAGCTCAATGATAGTGATAGCACGAGAACTGTACAGGGCGTTGCCGCTGATGCATCTTCCACCCCTTCATCTACCTCCCAAGAGGTTGGTGGAAGCAGTGTGGGGGGGGGGGGCAATATGCACATGGTCAACTACATGTGTTGGTGAGAATTTGAAAATTATGAGTGAATTTTGGAAAATTCTTGTTGGTTTCTGTGCATTTATAACCGAACGCGTACATTAGTGAGGAAACTCCTGAGCTCAGCTGAGAAAAGCGAACATATATTCCAACACTTGCTCCTAGAGAACTTTTTAGGGGAACTCACACGATGAGCTCAAGGGGGCATTCCACTACGACGCAGCTCTGGCAGTCGACATTCTGCATCAAACATCGGATCTACAGGAGATTGCTTACGAACGTATCTTTGTGTGGATACAGGTAGAGTGGGAGAGGGTATGCATTGTAACGGCTGGTTGCAGAGGCAATGCAAGGAGTTGATCACCGTGGCTGATGACTCTGAAGCGGAAGAGGAAGTCTCTAGGCGTATAAGGAAGGGACTGCAAGTCATTCGACACAGGACAGTATATTTCAACCACTCGGCTAAGGTGAGGTCATCATCATCATCATTTACACAGGAGGGTACTTGAACGCTCAGGAAATATCGCGGGTTCGCCGTCAGCTGCTGATGCAGAAGTTCCATGAGACTCTCACGAAGGGCGGACCCACCAGTCGCCCCATAGACATTCACGCCTATGACATTGTTCGGTGGGGTTATGATGGTCAATGTAACGAGAAATGTTTGGTTAGGTATACGAACGATATGCTCGCGTGGATACATGAACAAGTTGCTGCGGAGCGAGAGTTCTTTATACAGACCTTTTCCGAGGATGAGGAGACGGAAGGAAGAAGTC